CACATGGGAAAGGAAGCTAGCGATCTGAAACCATGTGGCAATCTGAATGTCCAACGAAAGTATTCCGCTGTGTGTTCGAACACGTTGTTAAGTTGCCTTCTTGAGGATATGTACCACTCTACCCGTCCAAAAGACTCTAAAAGGATCTAAAAGGGCTAAGAGAAAGGAGAAAGGTACGACAAACCCTGTATCTTTCCCCAACATTAAAGCTCCCTCCCTGCAAATCTAGGACTAGTTTCGTCCAGCGAAGGTTCTTCAAGGTTTGTACGTTGCATGTAATGGCTTCTCTTTACTTACAATCAGTAAGCTTACTTCGCCTTACTCGCTTCAAAGAAAGACAAACAACGAAAGCTGCGACAGTGAAAACGCTGTAGAGGTGACTGACACATCAGACCATCGGGGTAGGCATTCACATCAAACATTGGACGATTCAGTCACGAAGCGGTTTCGTCCGGTTTGTGAGATGAAGGTTTCGATGGAAATGGCCTACGGTGCCTACGGTGCTTGGGCAATGGTCCATCCAAGTGTCTGGCCCGTCCAACTCGGACAGCAGCTGGTTCAGAGTCTGCACATATTCCTGGATCGTTTTTCTCTGGTGTCGCGGACCCAAGCTCGTGCCAAACCGAAGCTCCACGAGACCAACTCTATTGATTTCTCTTGTTCCCTCGTTCTTAGAGCACTCTGGTATCATTCTTTTCTTCCCCCCGGCCCATAGCGACATCTGGCGAACTCCTTCAAATCACTTTTCGTGGCCAACTGGCAGTAACTGGCCACTGACGTAGTCTGCCAGAAAGCGTACACCCCCATGCCGTCCATGAAACCCCCATGCCTCGCTGCCACCAAGTCCCCCATGTCCACGGCTTCGTGTACCTGGCAAAACGGAACACCACCGAAACCCCGCGTGAAACTACCGGAAGTACGGATCCTGGCTACGTTCAAACCAGTATGGCGGAACTGTAGTTCGTGGAGGAATTTGTCCTCCAAGAGGCCTTTACAGGCCTTTGAGTCTATGCCTTCCTCAACAGGTGACCTAAGGCTTTGAATCTGGTCTAGAGATCTAGAGTTTTGGTGTCCTACTAGTGCAATCCGTGCAATTCCATCACCCGGCAAGCTCTTCCTCAGCACTGCTCTGGGACCCAAGCGCTGGGACCTTTGGAGATTTCCGGTGCTCCATGTTTCTGAAAATCGGTCGTGGACGAGAGCCTCTGTCTGTGAGTTGAGAGAATCGCCTCTGTGAGTTGAGCAAGCCCTTCTGAGAGATCCAACCAAATCACCGTTGTCGTCGTCGCGCAATTCTCGCGCTTCCCGCCCGCTTCAGTCACTTGGGCACCCAAAGCATCCAGTTCATCGAGAAAGAGCACCACCGGAGCCATCACTCGCGCCTACAAAGCGTCGAGGACAATCGTGTGTAACTCCGACTTGCCCAGACTTTGCGAGTCACAGAGTCCTTCGACTCCGAATCTCTGGGACTGGAGAAACGAACACTGTGCACCAAAGAAAGGGCCATCGACGATATGCGACGATCAGCACCAAAGGATGCAAAGAGGCTGCTGAGAGGCAAGGGTGGAGGCCATCGCTAGAGGCTGTGCCTTGGAGGGTGAGAGGGTATCCCCAAAGGCACTGGACGCGAACCGTCCACCGCGCGAGACTCGACTCGACTCCGCCTGCTTGAAGAGGTCTCGGACGCGGGAGGCCCCGCGGCCCACGTAGACCTGGCGCCGTGAAGAGCGAAGTAAGCTCGGCACCATAAAGGGGCACTGTATAGTATAGTAACTGAAGATAACTTAAGTAGCTAATACAGTACAATCCGGACGCAAAAAGGGTTGTTTAATTACAGTACCAAACGGACGCAAAAGGGTTGCTGAATGATTTGGTTCCTCGATTTGGGGGGAAACTAAACCTTTCTTGTGAAGAGTACAGGAGTTATCATTGTCAAGTATCATTGTCAAAAGAACATGTGCATGTTCAGTGTCTCAAACTGGCACTCCCTTCCAAAGACCCCTATTTAAAAGTGGTGGGAGGGGATTTACCTGCATAAAACAAAACTAAGTGACATGATCAGCAAAATGAATGAACTTGCACGAAGTTGTCACGAAGACTGAAATGGAGTGTGCAAGACTGAAACTGTGCAGCCAGTGGAAGTCTTGTGTTCGCCAAAAACAGTTGTATAGTGTTGCATATTTGTTCCAGCAATCTATTTGACACACTTCCCTCGTAGGACGTCCCCAGTCTCCGTATTTGGTCTGTGACAGTATCAGTAGCACCACAATCAGCCTTCAATTGTCAATCATTCTATATAAGTATAATTTTTGAATGATAAACCCCATTCAATACCCACATGCTTGGAAATTTTGGCGGCGCTTGAGTCGGTTGTCACATGCTCGGAGTGCGGTCCCTCCAAACCTCCCAGCATCCTTTTCACGCTGGCTCACCGTCTCGCGGAGGCAGCATGTCTCATGGAATCCGAATCGTCGACTTGGAGCTTCCCTGAAAACATGCGAGACATGAAAAGTCAATATTGACCCTTTTTGGCCCAAAATGGAGACCCTTGTTCTTTCATGATCTTTCCCTATAGACCCGTGGGTTCCGGAGGTATCGTGTTTGTGAACCCCAAAATCGACTCTTTTAGGATGGTTTGGTCTTGAGAATCAACCCTCCTCCAGAAACTCAGCACATGAAAAGGAGTCGGGATTCCAGCAGGTTGAGGCGTTGAAAGGCGAGGTATTCGAGCAAGGACCTGATGTCCGCGGGAAGGTAGCCCAACAACTAAGGACAACAAAGGCCGCGGTCCTGCGCAGCTTAGGTAGGTACCACCCCGGCCGCTAACCCAAACTGCTCACCACAGTATGGGAGGTGAGCGCCCCCACCGACGGCTGACCTTAGGCAGCACCTCCCCACGGGCCTTCCCCCACCGCACCCTTTTCTATCCTTGCCTCCTCTGCCCTTTCCTCCCGCGCCCTTGCTCCTAGCCGGTGCCCCTCCCCACCCGCCCCTCCTTCCCCTTCGCCAGCCGGACGACAGGCAGGCAAAGCCGTGAAAGCAACAGAGCGGGTCCGCTCCACAGGCCTCCCAGCCAGGCGTGAGAACACCAACAACCAAGGGAACAGGCAGGAGAGAAAAGCCTCTCCGAGTCCGTATAGGACTCCTTCTGGGAACAACCCATGCACAACCACACGGAGTTTCCGTGGGCTGGTCTTCTGGCGATGCCAGGCAGAGGTCACGGCGTACCCGGCCCCGCAAACTCAGCAGTGCCCGGACAGCGAGATAGCCAACGAGGCGGTACCCGAAAAGCTAGCCCCTAAACCTCGGGTATTCCAGGCAAGCAGACCGAAACGAACCCTTAGTGCAATTCCACCGATGTATCTTGCGTTTGCCGCGGCGGTTGCGGGGGGACAGGTTCCGTCAGGGTCGCGGCGCTTGCGACAGCTGATGGCCCATGAGGAGTCTTCCGGGTTACGTACGTCGGAATCGCCTGCGTCGAGTGGTCAAGAGTTTTCAGAAACTTTCGGCCCGTCCGTTTTCTAGACACACTCTTCGAACCGGCAGACGCAACACCTCCACGCCCCTCAGCACCTGAAAGCACCGCACCTGGCGAAGCCACTCCCGAAGCGCCGAACATCGTCGGGCCTAAAACACTAACCACACCCCCGGGAGTCCACCCCCTCCAGACGTCACAGCAGCGTTCTGGCCAGGAACGACTGCTGACCCCAACGACACAAAAGGTGGAAGACCCGTAGGACTGGAATGGGTCTGCCTTCGGCATCCAGCCCCCCAGCATACACCTCCAGACTCCGCCCTCCCATACACCTGCACCTGTCTACCAGCTCCATAAAGACCCACACCGGGTACTTGCTACCGAAGTTGCCCCGTAGCCGCCCACGAGGAGGACCGCGAGCGAGGAGGCCACGCCGCCAGAATCTTCAAGGAGCTTCAGAATGGAAGTGTCCCGTCTTTGCTCAAGGAGCTTCAGCCAAACCCATAGTGTTTTTGCTTTTTTGGCAACCCAATCGTGACTGGTGACGACTCATGACTGCTTGGTTTTCGCATGTGGTGATACCGGATCCCATGAGCACAAGCGGAAGCATAAAATCGGTGCGAGCTTTGTGAGCTCATCGGCTGTCTCTTCGTTTCTACGCGCATTGCTCCTCTCATCTTCTTTGACCGATCAACTCACTTCAGGACACTTGATGTATTTGGGGCAGAAAGGTGGATCCCAATATCACCACTTTGACCTTGTTTTTTGACTGGTGATCAAATATGATCAATCCATGGTGTTTGCATCGCGTGGCACTTGTTGGCCGCAGTCCTCCAGTGGAGGACATCCAAATCCCAAAATGGAAGATCGCGGAAACCTCTCAAAGCCAAGCTGACCATGTCGCTGCAAAAGCTCCTGGCAGTTTCTCGTGGAGCAATTGGGACATGTCAACTGTCAACTGGGCAAAATTGCAGTAATGTGGATTTGCCTGGGCAACGCCTGTTGCCTTCAAGATTAACAAGTTGCTCAGTAGTGCATTGAAGACTGTCATGAAGAGGATGTACTCTTGGAAAACCCTGCCCCAACGAGGTGGGGATCCTTGGAAAATATGGAAAATCTTCCAAGATTTCAGTGTGGCCCTCAGGCAGAAAATGTGGTGAGAGACTGACCAACCCCAATTACCCAATATTATTCAATTCAATGCTCTCTTCGATGTTGATTGCTTCCAGAAGGAACCACAATGCAAATCTCTAGGCCAGCCTTGGAACGTGCTTTTTCTCCTTCGCTTCCCAGCAAAGGGTATGCGATTGACACAGCATCGGCTGTTGCACATTATCACTGATCCCGTTCGGGATCAGACTCGAGTTCCGGAGGTAGACTCGAGCTTGAACATCTGGCTGAGGCCCATTGGAGTTGGGTGTCGTCCAAGCTCACAAGACTTAGTATTGTAAACTAATATGTATGTATCTATATATATATATAATATGTGTATAGATTTATATTTGGTATCAATTTCTAATTTTGTGGCGGCAACCCAAACCCCTCAGGCAAAATGCCGAAGAGGTCCGACTACTACACTTCCCAAACGAACATAGCCCTCCAAGGAGGAACATCTGTCCAAACCGCCTTAGAGGAACTGTCGTAGGGATGAGACCCAGTTCTGATCACATCAGCTGTCTATGTCTGTTGATGCCGTGATCGGATCAGCGCATCATTGCCTGATGCAAGTTGCCAGTGAAAAGAGCTGCTCCTTTGAATCCCATGAACGGTGAAGCAACAAGAGTTGTCCGATTTTGGAATGGGGACGGGCCCTGAGGATGTCTTCCAACTGAAACCTGACGGAGCTGGCAACATCCCCCAAAACCGCTGACCGAAGAAAACCTGGCGCTTGCTGTTTGTAGCCTGCAAAACACAAGGAAACCTCCCTAACCCAAACGAGGCTATCCAGGGTGCACCTGCCCTGCCTCGGAACGCGCCGAACTGAATTCAACGGAAGAACTGCACCCCGCGGCGGCGGAGGGTCTCTTGCATCTTGAGGACTTTGTGGCCTTGCAGGATGACCAACACAGCCTCTGCAACCAGCCGATTTCGGACAGAAACTCAAACTGTTTTGAGTGCACTGCACCCTGACAAAAACATAGTCACAAACCTTGGAAGTGACCGAGTCACATCATAACTGGATCTAGAGTTGTGGTTTTGGTCGCCACTAAGATCCTGAAAATGCCCACAGAACTCTTGGCACCAATTCTCTTGTCGCTCTACAAAGAAAGAACAATGACAAACAACAATGGCGTTTTTGGGGTGTGTGATTTGGAGGAGCCCCAATAATTGAACAACTCAAAGAGAGGCCAAGCCAAAGGCAACCAGCACCTGCGCCAGTACCCTCCAAGTTGTTTAATATAGTTGTTGTATTTTTTGTATATTATATGTACATACAGAAGTGTTCAAATAAACTCTCTGAGCGTCTAGGAATATCTGCTTTTTCATCCAAGCCTACGGCCTAACCGTGCTCTGAAAAAAGTCAAGAGAAAAGCAACCTCCGCAGACAGCACTGTAATAGCCCCCAAGGACTATGTGTGCATGCATGCAAACATCCCTTCTTCAATCATATTAGGGAAGCAATTGTATCTATAGTTTTGAGATCTCTTCAAGTAATTAAGTCAATTAAGTCTACTAAGTGTCGTTTCTTGCCCCCGTCGGCCTATCTTCCAAGTCACGCGATCGGGTACATGCACGAAGCTCCTCTTCAACGTGTCTCACAAGGTCCTGACTCTGTTGAGACTCCTTGGCCTTTTGATGCTCCAGCCTGCGCAAAGTCAACAAAAAATACGGTGAAGCTCTCTAACAGTGCAACCCTCCATTCATGGCTGCTACCCGGAGGTACCAGAAGAACCCTGAAAACTGCCAAGTGCATTGTTGTTTGGAAATGGTTACCTCTTCCTTTCGTGGAATTTCTCAACGTAACAGGTTTGCTCCCTTCACTTGGGCCTAGCTGGCTGGCTGCAGAACCCACGCAGCCGGACCGGAACCAACGGACGACCCGCTCGCGGGAGCCTGGATCGATCCTTGGAGGTGCCTGTGACCCTTCGACCCATGAGCTTCTGCTTGGCCTGGCACCGGTGCCAGTGAGCCAACGGCCAACGGAAGTGAGAGACAGAAACCAAAATTGACAGCCAATGAAAAGTGAAAGTAAGGGTATGTATATCAGGTTCATGTCATGTCTGGCAGTTCCTTGCGGGAAGGCAAAGAAATGACAATGACATACAATGACAATGTCTTCTCCATTGGGCGGCTGGTCCAACTACATAAGAAGAAGTGGGAAGAAGATCGAAACGGAAATCCATGTCCCTCACCTGCCCAATATCAAGCCCAAGTAAACCCACACTGAGGAAAGCTGCTGTATGCTGCATTTCATGGCCTTTGGAACCTTGAGGAAACTGGCTATGGACAAAACACCATGTTTGTCACCAGGATCTTGCCTTGCACTGCCCCCGCCCCCAAACACTGGCCTCGGATTTCGACGAGTCGGGCAGCTCCCGCAGGTGGCGCTTGAGATACCGCCGGAAGTCTGACCACTTCTGCTCGTCCTGGATGAGCTTCCTCAGAGCGACCAAGTGGGACCCGAAAGTGAGTAACAAGAAGGTGTAGCTTCCTCAGGTGAGGTTTATTTGTTTAAGCTTGGGGGGGTAGGCCGTAGTAGTAAAGGGATGCAAAGGGGTAAGTAGTAGCAAGGAAGCTACTGCCTAGGACGCAGAAGGGCTCAGGCTTGAGGTTTGAGCTTCCTCGAACAAGCCTGAACCTTAATGATTTGGCTCTTAGATGTTTAAGGAAACCTTGAGTGTCTTCTGAACCAAAGAATCGCGTCGACGTGTCAGGTTGAACTGAACAGGGATCTTCCACCATGAAACTGACAAAAGGCCGGTGAAACATGCTGCAGCGATAGCAACCCACTGGTTCAAAAGAAAACATCACAGAAGTCCCCTTTTTGCATCGACGGTCTGCTGGCATCTTGACTGGCTCTTTGGTATACACAAACACAACACGACCTGTGGGCAGAGCCCTGAACAGCTCAGCGTCAGCCGCAATGACAAAGGATCCACCGAATCCTCATCCTCTGCGTTCACTGGAGCTGTTGGGGCCTCCAGTTGCCAAAGTCTGGGGCTGAGAAAGTTCGTCGTTTCTCTCAACTCTTCGAATTGTCAAGTAGAAGGCCAACAGCGATCCATACATTTCCATCCACCACGAGCCTCGCCGAAATACATAATCCTATTATATCCTGTTATATATACTAAAACGCAGGTTCTTTGACCGACAAAATATTCCGGGAAGGCGAATTCATCACCACTGCCTTGGCCTTCCTCCGAACGCTCGCCCGATGGCTCTGCTGGGAATTGATGGACCGGACGGAGGATCTGGAGGAGCTGCGGCTCATGTCGCCCTCCTGGAGAAGATCACTCGTTGGAATCAACTCCTGGGCCATCCTGGGCCGTCCTGGGCCTAGGGATTCTATGGGAACAACAGTCCTGGCATGTTTGGAATCTGTTTGGAATCCATCACTTGCGAAGAAAAAAAGGACAAGGAGAATAACGCAGAATCAAGGAGAGACCAAACAATCGAATGATTTGGCAACGTCAGAACAAAGTGTCTGATGTAAACCCCAAAGGAAATTCCAGAACCCGGTGGTCTGTAGATGTGCCGAATGCTGATACCGCCAACCCATTGAAATGAACAAAAAACGTCACAGTCCTCCCGTGGGTCCAGCCGCTTGGGCTCTTTCAGGAAATCCATGGCCTGGGCTCTTCCCTCAAAACCTTGCCGATCGAAAAAGACACCAAACTATAATATACAATACCTACCATTCCTTTGTCATCAACTACGAAGCTTGGCCCCAATTGATCCCGATAGGCTTTAGGCTTTAAGTGTACTGGGATGCTTTGCAAAGAAATTACCCGTGCTTTGCTGTTGGCCAAACCCTGAAATTGATTCCAACTCAGTGGGCTTCAAAAAACGTTCCATTCAACTTAAAATGCTTGTATCTAGTTACCGACAACACGGACCGC